TCTCTCTCTCTCTCTCTCTCTCTCTCTCTCGTAAGGTTGAGCAGATTGAGGATTTGGTCTTTACTGGACCCCACCTTTACTCTTGTCATTTGCATTCTGATTGTTCTTTTAAATGGAGTAGAAACCGGGTGGAATTATCACTAGTCTCCAGGGGATTGTGATATCTGGCACATGGCCCTGTACTCCTTATAGGAACATCATTTGTCGTATGTGACAGAGCAAAAAAATAAAACATAGGGAATAGCTAGCCTGCATGACCTGTCACATGGAACAACTTCAATCATTTGCTGAAAGTTTTATTTTAAATCATGCAACTCTAGATCAATGCTTTTGTGAATGAGATTCTTGACAAAGCAATGTCTAAGCTACAGAATAGTACAGTGTGTAATTATATGACAGATTCAATGAGTATCAATATTTTTTTTTTTAGTTGCCTTACCTCTAGGAGCAGAATCGTTATAGGTTGTTCTGTAATTGCATTCATGAACAACACGTGCTTCCGGCTGTATTTTTTTGTTTTGCTGCTGTACCAAATGTGCTCAAAGACTGTCTCCCATCTTAATGAACATTCAGTGTACAGTGATCCTAGATTTAATCACTTGGGTTTGTTTTTTTTTTGCTTCTCCTAGAAGTAATATAGATAAATAAATAACATTTTGCTGAATCTCGTCATTAGGAAGCGTAAATATTTGAGGGTTGACTATGATGACCTGACTAGGTCAGGTCAGTGGTATTAGAAGACATTTTTTTCCTAGTCTGGATGAACCAGGTTAATTTTCAAGGGGAGGGATAAGGTAACTTACTTGAAAAGTAAGTAAATAAAAAGGCAGAAGTGTGCTCCTATTCCTAGGTTCCAGCTCCTGCCTCTTCTTCATGAGGATGTGGGCGTGGCACTCAGGGAGGGGTTTCCCGGCAGCCTCCAGCCCTGGCTTGATGTCTGGAGTGTGAGGCATGAGTGACATGCTAATGCTTAGCTCAAGCATCTTCCTGAGTAATTTCTACACCACCTTTTCCTCTAGCTGGCTCTGTCCTTGTGGCCCTAGTTCACAGACCTGGCTGTCATGTGCACCAGAGATTTATATCCGACTCATGTTGGAAAGGATGTTTTAGATCTCAGTTGGGGCACATATATCTTCTATCTCCAGCTTTCTTTCCATAACATTAAAAAATTGTAGTTAAGTTTCTGAAAAAGACCCTCCCCGTTTTTCCTGTGCATTCTATGTTTTTTTTAATCCTCACCCGAGGACATTTTTCCATTTATCTTCAGATAGAGTGGGAGGAAGCGAGAGAGACAGAGAGAGAGAGAAACATCAATGTGAGAGAGACCAATCAATTGGTTGCCTCCCGCACAACTGTGACTGGAGCGGGGGACCCAACCGAAAACTAGGTATGCGCCTTTGACAGAAATTGAACCCGGGGCTCTTTGATCTGCTGAGCTAAACCAGCCGGGGCTTCCTGGGCATTCTAGTGAGTATTTACCTTCCATAGATTTTGTCAAAATCCTTTTGCTCAGCAAGTTCTAGTCATCTCAATCTGATTTGGGGCTATTCACAGCCTTTTCCTTCTTTTGCATCCCAGCAAGGATTGTTTTTGATGGCCAGCTCTATTTATGTTAGCTGCGGGTGTTTCACATGGGGGAGGATGTCCAAGGGGAGTAGGCGGTAAGCTGCAGGTGTTTCAGGGGCAGGCTGCTGGGTCTCGTGGATTGAAATTTCATGGGCCACAAGGAGGCCCACAGGTTTCAGCTCTCTCCCTTTGCAGTGACAGGAGGCGTCCATGGAAGGCAGATGTTTTATAACCTAATAGGAGACAGGTTGCATCCACGTTGTGTTTGCTCTAGTGCACATCTCTGTATTCAAAAATGTGATTTGCACACCTCATGCACAAGTAGCTCTCTCTGAGCTGGTGGCCGTTGTTTTTCTGGTCCCCCTGGCCTAAGCTTGCTCGTTCCTGTCCCAGGTGCAATGAACACATTCCTCCCCTGATAGAAGGTGTGTGGTGTGGCTCTCCCTGGCCCACATGTAGGATCATGTCCCTGCCCCTTCCTTTCCATAGACGCCTGGGGCTGCTCATCCTCCTGGGAACTTGAGTTCTCGACTGCCCCAACATTAGATTGCATCCCTGGATTGCTGACAGCCCTCACTTCTGCTGTGCCTTTGGAATAGCTTTCTCCTCTGCTGGTAGCCAGTGCCTGGCAATTCTTTACAGTCCAGGCGATTCAGAGTGCTGCACTCATTTCAAAAGGCTGCTTTCAATCCCTCCCAAGAGAAGAGCTGCATGGGACTCCATTCTGATGGGAACTCGCTCTCATTTATTATATCCCATGTGCCTCAGTGAGGCCCTGCACCAGACCAGGACTTTTTTAAATTGTGAAAGGCTATTGCATGCGTAAATGCATGAATGAGTGATATCCCTGCCTTTATCTGCTCTTTTCTTTCAAAATGCTAATGCATAGAAATTAAGGTCTTGATAATTGTATCATACTTCAGAAAATAAAATTACATGTTCAAATTGATGAGCGCTTATGAACATCTAATGATAGGACTTGTTTCATAGCAATAAGGCATCCTTGAAAACTGAGTGGAAATGACTGTGGCCCTGGGACTTTGCAGATGAGAATGGAGAGTAAATTTCTAGCGATAGTTAACCCCCCATTCATATGACTGTGTGTTTAAGTTTGGGGAATTAAAGAATTTAACTTGTTTAGCTGTTTTCAAGATAATGAGTGTAGCGTTAAGGAGACAGTTTAGCTGATCATTAGTGTAAAAATAAAATAAACTGAATAGAAATATTTCTGTAAACGGATCCACGGGGTCTGGATTACCTACTCTGAGGTGCAGTGGGATTCGTCCCATAATCAAGGCTTGAGTGACAAAATGCAGTCATTTTAGGGTGAGAGGCAAATCTGGGTGGGTTTTAGCAGATGCCTGCTTTTAAGGGATACAAACCACGTACAGATTCTCACTAGTCTCAGAATTGGAAATCACAACGATAGTGAAAGAAATTGCTGGAAATCACTACGTTAGTGAGAGAAATAGCTGGAGGGCGCATCTTTCCTTCAGTTGGAGTTCTGTTTCCCATTAGGTTTCATTTGCAGAATGATTTGCCTATTAAGTTTTTTGAAGGACCTAAGTAAGGCTTTTTAAAAATAATAAGATACACTTAGCACTGCTCAAAATGTCCCATTTTAGGGAGATTTTAAAAGTCTTGAAAAGGCCCAGTATTTCCTTGCATGGTGACAGCTCCGTGTCTGCACAGGCTGTGGTTTTTCTGGCTGCATGCACGACATGGTGAGTGCTTCCAGTCTGTGCCGGGGAACTGCCTGGCATGCGGAGCCCATCCTCCACTGCGGGACACACTGGAAGTTTCTCTCTTACTGTGATTGGTCCTCCGAACTCACGCGGAACAGAAAAGAATGAGATTCACAAAGTATACCGGAGAGTGTGGTGAGCGTCTAGGATCAGAATTCTCAATGATCGGGAGTGCAGGTTATATAAAAACAACTGTGAGGGAGAAGACCTACCTGCTTAAGACAGGGTGTGACCAGCAGTGCGAACGTGTAATGTAGTAGCTGCAGTTGTGGAGGGTGGTGAAATGAACAACTTGGCATTTTTATTAAAAAGCCTAGAAACTACCCTGGCCGGTTTGGCTCAGCGGTTAGAGAGCGTCAGCCTGCGGTCCAGAGAGACCCGGGTTTGGTTCCCGCTAAGTGCACGTGCCTCGGTTGCAGTTTGTCCACGGCCCTGGTTGGGTCATGCAGGTGGCAGCCACTCAGTGTGTCCCTTTTACGTCGATGTTTCTGTCTCTCTCTCCTTCCCACTCTATCTGAATAAGAAATGAAAAAATGTCCTCGGGTAAGGATTTAAAAAAAAAAAAGCCTAGAAGCTTTTTAAAAAAGGTGCTATAAAAGGTCAAAGTCTGTTCCCTAAAGAAGGAACACCTCAAGTAAGAATATGCTGAAAATGTTGGAGACTGGCAAGTTTCAAGGAGTCAGTCTGTAGTCTGGAAGGGCGGTTGCAATTGTAGCTGGGTTAGGGGACCCTACACCGTGTCCCCTCCATGCTCAGCTTGGGTGAATTATTTAACCTGGGACATGGGGGAGTTGGGTAGACGAAGGAGAGTATGTAACAAGTGTGCCATTGCAGGAGCTTTTGAAATCTTGGGTTGTTTCAGTAATAGGATAGATTATCCAGTTAGAAGGAGTTTCTGAGGGCAGAAGTGTGGACTCGTGACTTCTCCCACTTTCTTACTCGGATGCTCATTTGCACAGTCGATCGAGTTTACATTGTGCTTTAACATGTCATCTTCTCAGCAGCCCTGTCAGGAAGGCAGTGGGTTTTCCCCTCAGAGACTCGGGATGAGGGGGCTGTCACCAGTCACACAGCTGCTCTCGTTGAAGGTAGAGTTATGCCTCTATCTCTTGTTCAGTGGAATGACTCCCAAAAGCACACATGAGTCGATTTCTTAAATTGAGATGTGGACTTCACTGTGCGGACCTCACAACTCCCTCCAGGGAAACCGAGCAGGAGTTCACCGTCAGACTTGCTTCTGGAAAACGGAATGAATACGTGTTTGCTTCCCAAAATGCATCGTTTTGTGAAAGTCACACGAGTTGGAAAAGTGGGTTAAGAAGGATCTTTGCACAGATATCACATGGTCTCACTTATTTGTGGAATATAATGAACATAGCAGTCTGAAGAACAGGGTTGTCCTAGAGACGTGGAAGTAGGGTACAGACTAACAATCCCCAGAGGAGGGGTGGGGGGATAAACCACAGAACTTATATGCATGTATGCATGAACAATGGACATGGACAGCAAGCTTGGGACAGGGCAGGGAGGGAGGGGGAGGAGGGTGTCAATGGGGGAAAAAGAAACATTTGTAACATACATACATGCATGCATGCCTACATACATACATACATACATAAAGATCTTTAACTCAAAAGATCGCTCTGCTCTCCCAACAATCACTACTGACGGACTTCTCTTCTTTTTCAGAGTGAAGATCTGCCTGGCTTCATCACCACGACATCACCCATCAGAGAATCACTTCAAAAGAAGAGGCTCAGCATTTTTTTTTTCTTTTTTTTTTTTTTTAATTTGAAGCTGCTTACAATGTTTCTTTTGGATCTGAGCATTTCCTTTGTTTTAAACATCTGTGGCTGTGTTAGACACGGAACCAGCAAGGCAAGAACACCCGCCGCGCTCACCGTGCCTGTGGTGGGCATCCACGCGTGTGCTGTGCGTGCTGGTTTCGTCTTGTTTTTTTTTAACACAGTTTGCCGAAGACGTAATCATCAAGAAAATTGGATGTTTTCATTGGCCTTTTAAATCGCGGCCAGTGTCGTTAATTTCTTCTTACGTTCATTTTGGCAAAGCCAATTTGTCCCTCGGCATGCTAGGAGATTCTACCAGTGCCCAATAAAGGGGTAAAATCTGGTGTTTACTGGCATACACTCAAAACTACCACAGTCCTACCTCAGTTCCAGGTGAAGCCGGATTTGTGTGGTTGGGGGCCGGCAGGACCCCTGTGTCTCTGTGCTCAGTGGGGCGCAAGTGTGGCCGTCAGCCTTAGAAACTGGTTCCGGGACATCGCTGCTTGTTGGACTCCAATCCAGGTACCTGCGTGTTTACTCACAGACAGAGCCCAGTGTGGGACTGACATTTCTCAATGGAAATGAAATTCGAGACTGGACTTTGAAGATGAATTAATAAATAATAATTCTATGTAACTGAAGCAGCCTACTTTTGAAAATCATCAACTGTATTGGGTAGTGAGGGTGGGAGGGAAGGGGTTTGGGAAGGGAGTGAATATCTCTTTTTACCTTTAACAGACTTGTTTAATCTTCTCTATGTAGATGTTTATGTAGGTACTTCAAATTGCAGAAGCCTTTGATCCTATTTACAAGCTCAAATGTCTCTGCTATCCTTAATCTTGAGCTTGCATTTCTTTAACCAAAAACTCACATAGGCATGCTAGCAATTCAAGGGTGGTCACCGGTTGAGCAGATTTTTTTTACAAAAATGTTATTTATTATATCTTGACTATAATGTTATCGTGTGGGCCAAGGAGACTACCCTGAACAACAAACAATATAACAAAAAAAAGGTGGAGGAAAGAAACCGATGAAAGAGGCGTTTCGGGCCCTCTGTTATTAATGGGAAAAGAGAAAAGAAGGAAAACAATCTCACAGTTCATGTCACTCGTTGAAACACTTCCCGACGAGACTACTCTAATGTTTTCAGTGTTCTGAAAATACCAGTGTTGTGGCGATGATCACAGGTGTCATCTAAAACTGCTGCCCTTGACCAGCAGAACGTCATGTCATCGCGCTGCTCCCTTGACACGCTGGAGGGCTCTAGACCTTTTTCTCCCGTGGGTGCATCCCCAGTGCCTATCTTCTCTGATAGTCCAGTAGAGGTTACACTAGTTCATTGGAGGTGTGAACTTTTTTTTTTTTTTGGAGAAAAAATTATATATAAATATATAGATATATATCGCTATAGAATAATGCATTAATAAAATTGAGGCTTTTTTAGAGGAAGACCAAAAAATTCAATGTCTTAAAACTATATTTAATGGCAATGCAAAAGTCTTCCTGCTTCCACGCTGAACTTTTAGAACAGAGGATTGTATTGCAAGACAAAGTTGAATGTAAAGTGATCCCCCTGAACATTTTTTAAAGTTTTACTTTTCTAAAATTACACATCACAGCAGTGCATAGACCATACAATGTTAGTTTGAAGGTCAATTTCAGTGTATAATATAGATGCTTTATAAAAGTGTATAAAATGTCCTAAAGTTCTGATTTAGTTTTGGGACTAGGAATCGATGGGTGGTATTTGCTATGTGACTCCCCCAGGTACAGTAGGACTGAATGTGGACCTGCTGAATGCAGTGTATGACGCGTATTTAAGTAGCTCTCTGTACTTAGAGTAGTCATGCCACTACACACATGGTTCATGTTCATACTGCAACTTACAACAAGCAAAATGAAAAGTCGATATTATACTAAATTTTCCTCTATCCTGTACATTTCAAAAAAGGCATATGCAATATTTACATTTTTAATTTAGTTTACAGAATGGAACCAAAATGTATAAATGTTATGTTTGCTAAAACTTCACAATGTATATTGGGTCTTTGTACATTTTGCCTGACTTACCTTAAATTTAAAATATTTTTTGCTATATAAACTTTAACAGTTATTAAACAGTGTTTTCTTTTTGGGTACGTATTGTTTCTGAATATCAAGATGTTAAATATATTTCTTGCTATTGTGATATGACAAAAGACTTAACTAATCTTGCTCTGTCTTCCACTGTCCACGCTGTATATAAGGGTCAATGTGACGCTGCTGGAGACAAGAATAAATGGAACTAGAATAGTGCATTGTATTTAGTCTGTATTGATCATGGATGCTCTCCTTAATAGCCATATGCAATAAAATAAAATACATTATTTATGAAATGAATAAAGCCTTGAGGATAGTTTTTTCTATGCGGATTGTGAATTTAACGTAATGCCACTCTACTGGTATTGGAGTAAACAAGAAAACACTAGGCTCCTAAAAAACTTTGATACCTCTCAATTTTAATATGTTCTGGGAACCAGAAAATCCCCAAATCACAAAATTTTTGAAAAGTTAAATGTGTGAAGAAAACAAAAAGGACTTTTACTTACAGAATCCTTGCAAGATGCTTGGTGCTGTTCTAAATGCTATACAAATATTAAACCTTTTATAGCTCACAACAACCTCAGGTGTTGGGAATCACCATCCCCACTTTATAGATGAAGAGACCGAGGCACAGACAGGTTAACTTACTTGTCGGAGGATACATAGCTCAGGAGTCAGGAGTCAGACGCAGAACTGCAGTCCCAGAATCTTCACCTGTGCACTCTGCCATACAGCCTCCCAGAGATACACACACGGAAGGATTAAACCAACACATACATCAAGAAGACATAGAAGTAGCCCTAGCTGGTTTGGCTCAGCGGTTAGCGCGTTGGCCAGTGGTCCGGAGAGACCCGGGTTCGGTTCCCACTAAGGGCATGTACCTCGGTTGCAGTTTGTCCCCGGCCCTGGTTGGGTTGTGCGGCTGGTGACTACTTGATGTGTCCCTTTCACGTTGATGTTTCTCTCTTTCTCTTCCTCTCTCTGCCTCCCACTCTATCTGAACAAGGAATGGAAAAATGTCCTCCGGTGAGGATTAAAAATAAATAAAATAATAATAATTTAAAAAAGACATTGAGGTAAAGACAGAGCCAGGAGGTGCCATTTAGGAGGCAGACAATATAAACATAACTTGATTTTTACCAAGAACAGCTCTTCCTCCTTGTTAGAAATAATCTTTTATACCTTTTTCTTTGAAATTATAGTAATGCAATAAAAACATGGGTGTCATCTCTTTTGAACAAATAAAAAGCAAAGGAATTTGGAAGATGATTTTAAAATAATGGCTCTTAATTCTCAAGGCTGGCATGCACTCTGTTGTGTTTGGGAACTTGTTGCTGACACTGCGACCTGTTTGTGCCTAGACAGGGGGTTGTCCTGAGGGCTCCTGTTAGCACAGAAGGAGACATGATCTGCAAGGTTGGATATCCCTGAAATCTACCCATTTTAATGATGAAAGGACAATATATGGAGGCCATTCTAGGGGAGTCTTTTCAAGCAGGAATTGGCAAATGTATTTTCACAAAAGAGCCAATTATAAATAAAGAAGTGAGGAATTGTATCTGAGGGCCATAGTTCTGGAAATATTCACTCAAAACCAATTCATAAACTTAGGAGGGAGCTAAGTGTTACACAATGTAATAAGATGAAAGATAAAAGGTTGAACTTCATTGGTTTTGGAAGTTTGATTCTGACCCATAGATGGTCTCAGTAGTCAGCTTGGAAGATGCAAATGGCTTTTTGATGCTGTCATATTCTCATGGTGCTGTCATTAGATTCAAGAGTCCGATACCTTTAAGCTGACCTACAGGATCACAGCTAGTCCCTCTTGAAGCCATAGACCCAGGTTAAATGTCACTTAGCAAGTTTCCAGGTTGAATTGGGCAGACTGTTCATTCGTCTGTGCATCTTAACCTTGAGTTGACAAGGTGTACTAGTAAATAATGAAGCCAGAATTATTTATTTTTTTAAAATCCTCACCCAAGGATATATAAATTTTTCCATTTATCTTTCGATAGAGTGGGAGGGGGAGAGAGAGAGAAAGAAACATCGATGTGAGAGAGACACACTGATTGGTTGCCTCCCACACAACCCCGACCAGGGCCAAGGACCAAACCCCAACCCAGGTACATGCCCTTGATAAGAATCAAACCCGTGACTCTTTGGTCCAGGGCCGACACTGTAATCACTGAGTCAAACTGGCCAGGGCACCAGCATTACTTATAGCAGCTCTTAGATGCCACCAGTTGAAGGACAAAGGGCATAATTGCTTGTTTTAAAACATGCAGGGTCTTCATCTTGCCCTAGCATGGCTCTTGCACATTCCTTCGATTTATACAAAGTAAAATATGTTTGCAATTCCTGTTTTGGCAGTGATCTCTATGTGATGGAACTCTGTGGCCTCCTATAGTCGGCAGCTTAAAAACCCTAGAGGTCCCTTCGGGCTCTCCTGTTAATATTTGACTCTTCCGGCTTCATTTCTGCTTGTTATCTCTTGAGCCTGTTTTCACCCCATTGCTCCGAGGACCCCACGTAGCAGTCAGGTGGTTTCCTTAGCACCCCCTTGATTCTGTGCTGAAATGACTTCTTGGAACTACCCGCGTCCTCGAGTCGCTCACAACTGTGCCACTGTGTGTAGCACGAACTCGGGTTTCTTCCCACCCCTGGTTCCTCGGCGGGAGCTGGACCTGCTGGGTTCTGTTCCCTCTGCATCAGACTCTCCTCCTTGTTACCCATGTTCCTTTCACCTGAAGAACCTACCTCAATTCGACCAGCCTACCTGGGTGGCCCCAAACTCTTACCAGAGAATGTACAACACCTTCCCCTTGCTCCAGACTTTCCCATTCAAATGACTTCAAGATAAAACAAAAGCATCAAATTAATTGATAGAGATTCCCAGAAAAGGTATATAAAATACAAGCACTTGTATTAATTAGGATATGTTTAGCTGAAGGTAATAGGAAACCCAATGCAGGGGCTTAAACCAGTGGTACTCACATTTGGGGGCTTATCAGGATCCCCTGGAGGGCTTCTTAGCCCCGCTCTCTGGGCCCACTCCCAGACTTTCTTTTCAGTCAGTCTGGATGGGACCCAAGAATTTGCGTTTCTAACAATTTCCCAGGTGGTGCTGATGCTGCTGGTCTGGGACCACACTTGACGAACCACTAAACAGTAAAGGAATTCGTTCTCACATAACAAGAAATTCGGAGCTGGATTAATAAGACAGCTAAATGACATCATCAGGGGCCCAGGATCTTTTCATCTTTCTACTCACTCAGCTATCCTCAGGATCTTGGCTCTTATCTCTCAGACTTTCCCCCTTGTGTTTATAAGATGGTTACAGCAGCTCTAAACAGCATATCCTCGCCTAATACTATCCGGTAAAGACAGTCTCTCTTCCTTTGGTCCTTTTGTGGAGGGATGCAAACAGTCCCCAAACCACCCACTTCACCCAGCTCAGCCTGACTTCCATTGACCAGAACTGAGCGCCACGCCCCCACTGATGCTGGTCCCCAGGAGAGGAGACTGCTCTGTGGCTGATTCACACTGAAAGAGATTCACACTCTGGGCTGGGAAGCAGTCAGCACCCCA